TGACCTATAAATAACACCAAATCTGTATTATATTACACTTACTTGGCCAGCTTCTGCAGAACCACCACCACCTCCTGTTCCTTCCTCTTCAGCTGCTCGTCATAAGAGACGTTCCACAGAGGTGTCACCACGTTGGCGATCTGGACACTGAGCGGCTCCTCTTCCTCGTCCCCATCATCTGTTCGTTTGCATGGGGGCGGGCCTCCCGCGCTCTCCCCCTCATTCTCCTTCCTCTTTCTCAAGATGGGGTCTGCCTTGGGTTTGGCCAGCTTGACACTTAGCACCTGGCCCTTCCACTGCATGCCATGCACCATCTTCATGGCCTTGTCGCGCTCCTCCTCGTTCTTGAAGGTGACGAAAGCAAACGTCTGCCTGCCAAACAGCTTGATTTTGTGCGGGTTGAGGCCATGCTTGGCCAAGAACTTCTTCAGGTCATTGAAGCCTACGAACCTGGGCAGATTCCTGATCTCCACTTTGTAGATCTCCGACGTGAACAGGTCCTCTTTGATGTAGCGGTACATGCCGGGGTCAGGAGCCGCCTGGCTTTCTCCTTCAGCCTGAACATCAGGCTTGGCAACAGCATTTTTGGAGAGGTCATCAGGCTTCTCCTCCAGGGAGAGCGAGGCTGGAGTGATGGCCGCTGGGCTGCTGCTGATATCTGCCATCACTGTGCTGATTCCTAAAGCACCAAACAATAGGTAGGCCTATCAGGAGCTCGCATTCACGGAGTTAAAACGTGAAAAAAGTCTCATACTCTACTCTCAAGCCTGGTTTAGGGTATTGTGCAACTTTCAAATAACTGCTGCAATTAATGTGTCACGGTGACTATGTAAAACAATGCTGTTACTCTGCATAACAGTACATGCACTTACTGCTTACTTATGTTTTGGTTATATGGCAAACTGAAAGACTTGATGCTAGCTCGAGCAGGAAGTTACATTCTTTGCAGTTTCAGAGGAACGACGTCGGTATTTTAACGGAACCCTTTGTGTAGTGTGCTGTTTTTGACTAGCGGTAACATTCCACGAGAGCTCTTACCTTCCCGTACCTCTGTATTTACTTTCTGCTCCACTTCTATTGAGCAGGCGGCGCCATGTTGATTCAAGCACGTGCAGCTTGAACTATGAACTTTGTTAAAGTGACAGGCATCCCAGCGGCTTTAGGTTTGTGTACCTTGGTCACTTTCATAGATAGGAGGGTTAAAACATAAGGCAGTGGGTCCACAGTAAATATAAAAAATAGGACAGTTTCTGTAAGTTAATTTCATTTCTTTTTTCTATTTTTTTAGATTTTTTTTTTTAGATTTTTTTCTATTTTTTAGATTTATAGTCCCACTTTTTCCAGTATGCTATGTGTGGCCACAGAAGAATTATGCGCCAATTAAGAATCTGAAGAAAAATGTGTGAATTCTTTTCTTCAGATTGTCTTTAAAACCAGACTTTAATTCATTAGTTTCATTAGCACATTTTATTTTAACCACTAATAAGTCTGATTTCCTGCTTTTATTGGGGGTAAATGTATATTTTGAAGAGTCTGTTAATATTTAGATTGGATACATTTGGCTTTATTCACCAGCAAGTTTTCTACAACCTTTCAGTTTTATGCCACTAATATCTCAAAATCCCTCCTTTGTTCTGTTGTCCTTTTAAAGAGATAAAGGTAAAGATAACCTTTATTAGTCCCACACGTGTGAAATTTATTGTGTCACAGCAGAAAGTGGACAGTGCAAAGTTATAGCAGCAAAAATTAAGAGAAACACTGGAATAGGATAAGATAATAAGAATAAGATACTATACACAATAGAATAAAATACTATATACAACAGAATTATTGTAATGTAATGTCTCCATTACAGATTGTTGTTTAGTTCACTTGATAGTTATTGATCCTGTACAAACATGCTAATAATCCTACGGAAGCCTTAGTGGCTTCATATATCATGGAGATATAATTTTTGCACATAGATTGTATTATTGTATCACAGATGATACTTAGTTAATATTATGACTAATATTTATAAAATGATGTGACAATTATCAAACCAGAAGTTTTTTTGGTTTGTTTGTTCATTAGTTAATTTGTTTTTTTTTCGATACAAGTTGTCACGTTTTTCTATTGACAGTAATGTCCAGTAAAAACATTTTTGTGAAGAGGGGTATCCCTGAGAAGAGAGAGGCGGTGCGCGTGCTGTGACAGCGTGAGCACGGACATGCGTAGAGAATTCGGCGCGCGAAAGCTGTAGCAGGAAGTGAGAGAAGCTGAAGGGAAACGGCGGCCAGTTTGGGATTTGAATCTCTCAAACTACTCTCATAATCTACAAACATCTACAATAATATGGCAGACCCAAAGGTGAGGTCTATCATTCTAGGACGTGTAATGCTTTATGATTGCTGGGAAATAACAATTTTGTGACAAACATTGTTTTTCATGTGTCATAATTTGTCAAAGTTTCGAAAGGAAGCCGTGTGCAAGAAATGCCGACAATGATCTTGTCTTTGGTGATGCTATGAAACACTAATTGATATTTTTTTTTAGTGATGTAAAAGTAACGGAACGCCAATGGACTTGTAAAAATGCACACCGTTAACCGTTGTAAAATTTTCCACTCTTAACACTTCCGTTACAGTTCACGAGCCCATAATTCAAAGTGTGCAGCCAGCAAACGTGTTAACATTAGCTTCATACTGTGAACATTAGCATAGGGAGGTGATGTGCGCAAGAACATTAGTGCTTCTACTACACGATCACATCGGTCAGTTTTTTTAAACTGGGTATTTTTCAATTAGTATACTTCTCACTAGCTCAGGGCAACGAGGTTAGCTAGGTTGCTTGCCTTTGTCTGCCAAGCACAATACTTGCTAACATTAGTTAGCTAGTGTTAGCTCTATATCAGGGCGCTGTTTACTGTCTGTTAGCAGTGACGGTGTTATATTAAATAGACTGCTCGAAAATCACACAAGTTACTGAAAAAATACTGCAGTTGTGCTAAGCAAAACGGACAGAGGTGCAAAAAAAGACAAAGTCGGATTGTTAGCTCCGGGCTAGCCGGCTAGTAAAAGGCCTGCGTTTCTAGCTAGGCAAGTTCACAACGAGCTGTCTTAGGAAAAAATAAAGTTGGATAAATATTTGATGACAATACTAAAGTAAAATGAAGCTTCAACTTTAGGGGGAGGGGGGAATTGAGTTAATTGAGTTAATTTAATGTACTTTTCCTCTTAGGACCAGGAAGACCATGATACCACTGCAGATGGTGCAGAAGACTCTAATCATGATCCCCACTTTGAGCCCATCGTGTCTCTTCCTGAGCAGGATGTGAAAACATTAGAGGAGGATGAGGAGGAGCTGTTTAAAATGTAAGTTGCTTACCATGTGAACATATTAACAGAGACACATTAATCAGTTTCCTAATACTGAGGTGTTCTGCTGTTTTCATAGGCGGGCCAAACTATATCGTTTTGCCTCTGAAAACGACCCGCCGGAGTGGAAGGAGAGAGGAACTGGAGACGTCAAGCTGCTGAAACACAAAGAGAAGGGCACAATCCGCCTCCTGATGAGGAGAGATCGAACTCTAAAGATCTGTGCCAACCATCACAGTGAGTCAAATTGAGAAATCTGATTTCATTGTTATTCGTGTCATGACAACAATTGGCCATATGTAACCTAAACAATATGGGTGAGTGGCGGTACAGGTAGAGTGGTGTGAAGATGTGTTATTTAAAGCCAAGGTGTACTCGCTGACTAGTGCGTCCAAGTATTTTTTGCTTGTTTTTATTGCAAACATTTTCTGATGTACATGTAAGTACAAAAAGCCCCATGTGATTCCCCCCATCACCCTTCCCCACGATCTTTAAATGAGTCAAATCCCTGGTATTAGTGGCAACAACAGAACTATAGATGAGCAAACGAGAGGTTGAGGGGTGGGTGTTGGAGGTACTGGGCTTGTAATCTCATCCGGTTGTGATACTATCCAGACTGTGATATTTTTTTGTGTGTTGGTTTGATTGGGAAAAATGTGTGTTTTACTCCTCCCTTCACTCATGTGTGGAGATAAAAAAATGGTGCATCTGTGTGTTTAATTCCCAATGAAACTACTAGATATTAAAAAAAATCCATTTAAGTGACTGTGCTCATACCTGCACTTTGTGTTCTTGTTAACCACAGTTTTACCAATGATGGAGCTGAAGCCCAATGCTGGCAGTGACAGAGCATGGGTGTGGAACACACTAGCTGATTATGCAGATGAATGCCCCAAACCTGAACTTCTGGCAATCCGCTTTTTAAATGCTGAAAGTAAGTATTTAGGTGCCCATTTCAACATTACACATTAATTCTCCCAGAGCTCTTTAACTTGGATTTTAAATCATGTTACATTATGTTCTGTTGCAGATGCTCAGAAGTTCAAGGTGAAGTTTGACGAGTGCAAGGATGAAGTCAGAAAACATCTAGAGCAAACAGGTACATGAAGCTTAAACTTTTAGGCTTTTTTCCCCCCCCCTAGATATCACATATGTGAATTTTCTGAGAAGCAAGTGAAGTAAAACAGTTTTGTCAGCATAAACTAGTCCATAATGTAGACCACGTCAACATTAGATAGGAATTGTCAGTAATTTTACTTTACTTTCAGAACCCTGAATGCAACATTTTGCTAAGGTTAAAATGCCTGAATTCAAAGAGAGGGCAATGTGACACGAGGATAGGGGCTGTGAGCATGCAGACACACTCTGTTCTCTGCTGCCAACTTCAGCTGGGGACTTTTTCTGTCTGCTACATGAACACGCAGAATGTAACACTTTACTAGTTTTCTAAAAGACTGGTGTCGGTATGTTCTGCTACATTACATTTCAGTTTCCACAGGCCCATGGTGTTCGTGTCATAGAAAGGTTAGACTGTTGTAGAGTGTGTTGAGTAACCTACTGTACTTCTGCACCTTTCAAAACCATGAATTTAATTCTTTGACAAGAGAACTATGTGTATGCTGAGGGTCACTGTCTTGCTGCAAAGCCGATTTTCTTTTTTGTTAAGTGTCAGTTCATGTATGTATCTTTATTTATTTGCTGGTTTTCAGGGTGGGTGGACTGATTTCTGGCTCAATCATAGCACCATCATGTCTCACTGATATGGGAGGAGCTTCTGAAGTTCTCCAAACAGAATGCTTCTTGTTTAAAGATTAAAAAAAAAAATCCAATTCATCAACAAAACATTGTATCAGTCTTGATACATTTCTGCACATTTGGAGCTCATGCTCACACCTGATTGTCATCCTGGTGACTGTAAACATCTGGTTGTTATTTGACCTCTGGGTTTACATCAGCGGTCCCCAACCTTTTTTGCGCCACGGACCGGTTTATGCCCGACAATATTTTCACG